ACAGGCTACCAAATTTTTACTTGAATTTAGATTTCTTCCCCTTTTAATGGCCAATAAGAAGTTTAAACATTTTCCAACCAACTGGCAAGCTTCCTTTACAGCTGATGAGAAAGTCTAAAGTAATTTTGACAAAACCAACTGAGCCTGATCCCAGAAGTCCCCGAGTGTGATCTGAAGAGGCCAGCGAATTCAGAGGAAGAAAAGACCCCCTTCAAGTGGAAAACACTCTCTTCAGCTTACTTTACATACCATTTTCACAGTGATGGTAGATGCTGAATGAGCTGTCTGACAAACACATTGAAATAAGAAAAATACCAAAAATTTAAATAACCAAGACCTGATTCCAGACACTTGTTTGAATTCCTTACACAGGCACAGCGTTCAGATTCACAAAGTTATTTGCACAAAGTGAGGACCAAGGAAGGTAAGTAGAAGCCCCGGTCCAGGCCCACTGCTCTCAGGGGGATGACCCAGCCCTTCCAGCCACCGGCCCATGTCCACAGAGGCAGGGTTATCCTAGGTTGCCGACAGCCAAAGCGCCTGAACTTACCCTGGATGTCAGGAGAAGAGGACAGTCACAAGGAACTCATGCCCGAGCCAGCCAGTGTGGACAAGGAGCGCTTACTGCCTGGCTTTTGTGTTAGGAAAGCACCTGTCTGTTCCCCACTGGAAGCTGTTCCTGGAACAGTGACAGGAGCTGCTTCTTAGACATGGGTTGGTAGCTACAGGTCCCCAACTCAGTGAATACTGTCCCCAAGGGGCTTTCAGATGAAATCAATACGGCAGCTCTCACAATTTTAACTAAATCCCTGGCTTCCGAAAACGAACAGGAAACTCCAAATACCAGACACCCAATGAGAATATACCAATGTTTCCCAATTCCCACTCCACCAGGCCTGACGCACCAAAGGAGCCCCAAATGGAGGGAGACTCACAGACTCCCTCCCAACTGAGGGGAACTGGACTCCTACTTTGTTTGTTTGTTTTTAAACTTCAACACGCTTTCTTGGCTGCTCAATTTCGTCTCGTGTCAAGAGCACCGCGCGGCGACGCCCGCTGCGCTGAGAAGCGTGTGGGGGCGCACAGGCTCTGGCAGCGTCGGCGTCTCCAGGACACCCACAGCCGGCCTGCGCCCTCGCCGTCACGTCGTGTTAACAGCAGAACAAGGAGCCGGAGGCGGCCAGGGGCGGCCTTCCCTGCCCACCAGTCCCGGGTCAGCCGCGCCGATCCCTCGCCAGGGACAAAATCTCCCCAGGGGTGTGCCCGGGGAGGGGCGGGGGGGGGGCGCCACGGGCGCGGCGCGGCGTCCGGCATCGGGGGCGCGCAGGCGTCACCGCGGAGCCGGGCAAGGGCGCCGGGGGCAGGGCGGACCGAGACGCCCTCGGCTTCTCCAGCTCCGCCACTTGCGGCCGCGGCGCCTGGACGGGGAGGCCGCAGCCCGACTCCACCTGCGTCCAGGTGAGGCCGCGGGGGCGCTGGCCTGGGCGCGCTGGAGCTGCTCGGTCCGCGACTCGCGCCTGGTCTTGGGTCTGCGTAGGGCGCGGGGGGCTCGGGGGGGGGGCGCGGGGCCCTCCGAGCCGGGCCTTCGCTCCGCCTCCCGCGGCGACTGGACGTGAAGGGCGAGGGCAGGAGCCACGCGGGGGCCTGAGGCTGTGGCTCCAGCATTCCGGGCGCAGGGAGCTGAGGGCGGGGCTCATGAGGTCCGCAGGGCCAGGCCCAGAACTTTTGTTCAGGTTTTTCTTTGTAAACTCTCTCTCCCTCTGCATGTTTCCAAGCTTTGCTTTAAAATCTCTCTGATTGACAGGAGCCCTAATGCCCGCTCTCAAGGAGTGTCTGACGCCAGGCCAGTTGGGAGACCCGCCCTGGACTTGCAGCCCCGCCGCTCCTGCGATGCAGCACTCAGGGGGGATGTTTTCCGGCAAAGGACCAGCCTCAGCGGTTGGCATTGGCGGCCAGGTAATTCTCCGCCTGTGACCTGTGGGTGTTAAATTGCAGCAGATGTCAGTGGCACCCCTGCCCCAAGTGATAGGCCCAAAAGTGTTTCCGGAGACCGGGAGGCAGAGGCCCCCCTCACCACCTACTGAGAACCACGGGGGGCCAGAGGAGATTGGGGGCTGCCCGGGTCCCAGAGCGAGATCTAGGCGCGTTCTCAGGGAGACCCCAGAGGGCCGAGATCCAGGATGAAAGGTGCGCCCACATTCATTTCTGCTAGAATATTCCACTGCAGGCTGCCCCCTGCTTGTGATGGAAGGTTCCAGTTCTCGCCTACCTCTTCTCAGATGTAATGGTCACCACCTCCTGTTTATGACGAAGGTTCCCCCTTTGGCATCATTGAAATTGGGGGCTGGGTCATTCTTTGTGGGGGGTGAGTGGCCCGTAGACTGGGGTGTTCAGCAGCCTCCCTGGTATCTACCCGATTGGTTGCCTGGAGCACCTCCCTAGTTGCAACAATGAAAATATTGCCCAGAGTCGGCAAATCACTGCACTCAATCAACTCTGCTGTTTCGTCCCCAAATTCCCTAAGACTTTAATTTCTGCACAAAGGGAGCTACAATACAAGCCACAGACATTACAGTCCGAAGGACGTTGGTTTCAAGACTCGGCTGGCTTCTTCGAGGCTATACCAGATCAGGCCATTGACTCTTCTTCTTGTGTTTATAGATACAATAATATGATTTTTGCTGGACTATTTACAAGTTTCAGCCAAAATGTATTTAATATATTCAGCAGAAGGGTCTAACCCAGATTTTTCAACCTGTATGTTTTTATGGGAGATAGGACGAGACAATATAGAAGATAGGAGAGAGACAGTAAATAAAGAAGACTAAATTTTTCCCCAAAATTTCTGAATCCTGAGCATTAAAAGGTAAAGCAAATAAAATGTGAAATAAACAAAAGGAAATGTATATCTAAACAGAACAGTTCCCAAAAAGTAGTTCTAAAGCTAAGGAACTGTCTTGACAACAGTCAGAATGCCAGGAATGATTGGCTACAAGACATAGTGGTCAGACCCAGCACAGATGCATTCACAGTGAGGACCAAGCCCCAGCCCAGGGCAGGGAGGCATGAGAAGTGGCCGCTGTCAGTTGTGTGCCGAGCAAGTTATTCTTTTCTTTTAATTTTTATTAATTTTTTTATTTTTTACATCATTGTTCATTTTTAAACAATATTTGCTTCCCCCCACCTCCTAGGTGTAGTCCCGAGAGTTTCCTTTACCAGTGCACCCATGCACCATCACCTCAGTCCCCTGTGCTCCTTCCTCCCCCATCCCTCTCCTGCCTCCTCCCCTGTAGTATGTCTCTGATTTATAATTGGTTTTTTGCTTTGTTGTGTTTTGTAATGTTATTTTTTTTACACTGATGTCTTATTTGCTTTCCCTATATTCCTGCTATAAGTGAAACCATCCAATATTTTTCTTTATCCATCTGTCTTATTTCACTGAGCATAATTCCTTCCAGTTCCATCCACGTTGCTGTGAATGGCATGAGTTTATCGTTTTTGTTTGCTGAATAATATTTCATTGTGTATATATGCCACATCTTCTTGATCCAGTCATCTATTTTTGGGCATTTGGGTTGTTTCCAGGTTTTACCTATTGTAAATTGTGCTGCAATAAACATAGAGGTACAGGTGTTCTTTTGAATCGGTGTTTTTGTGTTCTTTGGGCAGATCCCTAGGAGTGGAATTGCCGGGTTGTATGTAGCTCCATTTTTGGTAGACTGAGGAACAACCTGAGCTGTAGGAGAGATGGCGCTACCATTGGATTCATGATGGAGAGAAGGAGCTCAAGAGTATATTTCTGTTGTCTGCCTTTCTGCTCCCTGCTCTGTCTCTGGTGAGTCCTCTCACCCTCCTGCACCTCTGGTCTATACCCCAGCTCTTGTATAAAATAATAAATATTTAAAAAAAGTAATGTTCAGCCTCTAAAAAAATTAGATTTAAAAAAGACATCTTTGTCTGACCTAAAAGTTTAGAACATGGGGTTTTACATCCTTAGGATTATAAAACAGCAGATAAGTACTGTTGGGAGTAAGTTTCACTGAGTAAAATGTAATCCTGAATCAAGAAGTAAAGAATTTTCTGTCATTTAAGCTTTCCACTTAAATGATTAACTATAGTTAATACCTGTATGTTACAATCTGTAATAATTTTACCCTGAATCATTTTTTTAAAGATTTTTATTTATTTATACAAGCACTGGGGTATAGTATAGGCCAGAGGCGCGGGAGGGTGAGAGAATCCACCAGAGACAGAGCAGGGAGCAGAATAGGCAGGACCGAAATACACTGCTGAGGGAAGCAGCAGGCGAGACAGGAGAGGTCTGCCCCACCATCTGGGAATCTCCCTGGGCTGGGCGGGAATCAAACTGGCACTTCGAAGGCTGTGGACAGCTTCATAGCGCTGCGCTCAACCTGCTCCGCCACGGGGGAGGCCCTCACCCCGAATCATTAACCTTGATTTCATAAATGAGGTTTTCACTTCTCCAGGTTAACCTTCTCACAAAGGGGTAATGCAGCTTCCTGCTAAGCTTGGTGGAAATATTCAGGAGGAGTGAGATTATTCAGTTTGTTGGTGCCTGGGGGTCTGTGCGCAGTAATTGGGGATACAGAATTACTGTTTATTTAAAGCTACTGTTTCATGATGTATTTCTTTCTTACATCATTGTTAATTTGGGGACCATATGTGATTTCTCCCCTCAGGTATGGTCACCGAGTTACCTTTTAAAGAAAGTCCCCTGTGACTTACCAGCAGTGGGTTGTGACAAATGTAGGGAAAGGCTGATTTCCATGACAAAGGGATAGGAGGGAAAGCCAGGGAGAAAGAAAGAGGAGAGAGGAGTGCAGTTGTTGGTGTAATGTCGTACCTGCAGATCTTGACATGTGTATCTTTATACGGAAACCTAAGTAACATTATAAACCCATGTTACATTAACTTTTACCTTAAAAAGGACTTTACATTTTATTACCCTCATAAGAAAGAACAGCCATTGGCATCAAATGGGTATGCAACTTTTGCAGGATTTATTGTAGCCCAGGGCCCGAACATCAGGGCTAACTTCTACACTATGAACACACGCCCCTGCCCTCCAAGACAGAGGTCACAGGCCTCCACATTCCTTAGGCCCCGCAAGGCAGCAGATGCTGCCCTGACCTCAGGCATTCAGGACAGGAAGTCACAGCATGAGGACCTGGCCGTCCCGACGTCACTCCACTCGACCGTCAGCCAGGGGTTGCTGCCCTTCACTTCTCTCAGCAGCGCCTGGACTTCCATGCTGGGTGCATCCAACTTCAGCCTAGAGATTGGGGAATACAGGTGATTGCAGAGGACCCAACCTTGTTACCCAACTCTATACTCTGAGCCACAGAAGTGCTCAAAAACCTATTTCTGGGCACTCGTCATGGGGAACATTTTTTTTAAAAAGATGACTTGGACCCACAAAGTAGGGTTTCACATAAATATAGAAAAAACCACCAGGCTGAGAGACAGAACATGACCATGGGCTGGCTGTGGCTCCATCATTCTGTAATTGCTCAGTGAGGGGGAGCCCGGTGTCTCTGTCTATGATCTAACCCCATCTCCTGAAAGTTTCTCAGAGCTCCCCCACTTCAGCAGGCCACAGCTGCTACCAGCTGAAGAGCTGAGAGGAAGAGAGAAAGGCACAGAGCTCTCCAAACCAGCTGACCTCCACGGGAAGTCTGGTCAGAGATAAGAGCTGTAAGTACCTGCAATGTAACTGCGTCATAGTACACTTGGACGTAATGTGGTCCCCATCCCCCCTTTATGAGGAAGTGGGGTGATGATGGTAGGGGGTGATGATTGTGGTAACAAGAGACAAAGCAGAAGTAAACCCCAAATCTATCAAAGCATAAAAAAAACCTGGGCTTAGTTAGCCATCCTGGCTCTCGTTGGTGGTTTAGGTCTAGGTCTTACTAGCAAAAGAAGCCTGAGACTCGCTGTTTAGGCTCTGTGATGGGTCTCCCTAAAACCTTAACCCACTTTGAAAATGTGTCATAGCAACAACTGGTACACCCTTGAAGAAGACCAGTTCCACACAGTCTCACAAACGTCTGAATATTGCATTCCTTGACCAAATGTGACTGTGGGTCTTTTCATGAGCCTTCAAATGTAGATGTAACTTTCAGCGCTCAGGCAATGAACAGAACACCGCCAGCACCGAACCACTCCTCTGCCATCTGGGAACAGAATGATACTATGTTAACAGAAGCGGAGAAGGGCTGTAAAGGACTGGGGTAGGAGCCACTTGGCCTAGAGCCCACATCTGGCCCAGTCCCTGTGTTTATAAATAAAGTTTTACTGGAACACAGCCATTCCCACTTGTCGACATACTGAAGATGACTGCGTCCAGCCTATGCAGCGGAACATCAGAGACAAAAATCTGAGCTGTGGATTTCCCAGTCCTTTATAGAGAGTTCCCCTCCATGGTCCAGAACATGCAATTTAGATTCATGTGGCCGAAAGAATGATGCTAGAGCTCTTTGGTTAAAAGAGTCACAGAAGTGGGAATGGCTTGTTCTCCTTTGGCTATGAGGATGTGTGTGCTTGTATCACTGAGTATTCTGTGGAATGTTACCTACGTTCAGTTCAAAAAGGAGCGTTTTGGAGGAGTAGCTAATAAAAATGCTCTAAACTAGAAAGCATGCTAATGTAAGATGACTTTGATGCTTATAAAATGTTCTCCTTCCCAGATTAAAAAAAAAAAAAACAAAACACCACTGCTCTCGGGAAACTCACCAGGTGAATCAACGTCCATACCTGAGTGTCTTCAAGGGGCCATTACTTTGCTTTAAAGCCTCAAGGAGCACCATCACTCCCCTCTGCCTCAGGTCGTTCTGCCCCAGGTCCAGTGTCTCCAGCCTCAGATTGCTGACGAGAGCAGCCGCAAGGTCCTGACACCCAAAGGCAGTGATGGAGCAGCCCTGGAGCCTGTTGAGAAAGACATTGAGCAGCTTATTGAGGACCTACTGTGCGGCCAGTACTCTTTCACTTTCTGGAGACCTAGTAGTGAGGAAACGGGGAACAAAGCTATGTTCCTCGCGGAGCTTATTTTGTTGGTGCTGGGATGTGCTGGGGTAGAACAGAGCATAAGCATGAAACACGCAGGACAGGAGGAGTCACCCAGGGTCATGGTGAGCATGCCACTAGGGAAGATGGAATGTCAGCAGTCAGTCATGGAGAATATGTTTCAGGTGGAATCTGAAGCCCACTCTGATATCGAAGCCCTATTCAGTGCCATTTTCTAGTGTGCAATGTCGTTGTTCAGAGATCCAGAGAGGTAAATCCCAATCTTTGAAGTTAGGGGATCCAACTTGTAATTCCAAAAAGCTTACATTTGACTAATACTGGAATAATCTGGAATGCCTTTTAAAATTCTGATACCTGGCTCTACTTCTGTATTGGATCATTTTGGGGGAAAGCTATCAAGAATTTTAGGAGTCCCCCAGGGACAGCAGGATATAAAACTAAAGGACCTTGTGTTCTCAAATTCCGGCCTCTGCAAGGCTAGGAAGTGCTCACGTGGCCCAGACCCTCTTTCTGTGCGGCTCTGGCTGTAAAGTTCATTGCTTCAGTAGGAGGCCCTGGACTGGACTCAGCAGAAGGTGAGGAAGAGAGTCTGGCTCACCAGCCTGTTGGAGCCAGGCATTTCCTGGGGCTGGCATCCATCGTTCCCTGAGGATTGAGCTGGGGCAAATCCTAGTCTCCCAATCCAGGCAGCCCCCACCCCATTATGTGTGTCTTCCTGAAATGCACTTGACCGGAGGCCGTCCCCCACACACCCCCAGCGCCTGCATCCAGTCTCTGCTGGAGGCTCCTGAAACAGCAGCAGGAGTGATGCTGTGGCTCCGGCCTTCCAGAACACCTCAGAGACTTCCAGTACTTCTCAAACGCCTCTTAGGAGGACAAGAGTACCTACCCTAGACATTTTAGGTTACAACTTGGCTTCTTCAATGCCTCACAGAAGAAGCACAGCCCAGCAGCTATGGGGTTAAAACCCAGGTCCAAGCTGGTCAGGCTGCAGTCTCCTTGGAGAAGCTCGGAGATGTATTTACAGCCACGTCTGGTGATATCACAGTCCCGCAGCCTGCAACGACAACCACAGAAGAGAGCTCTGTGAAGACAGTCCTATGAAGGGAATGCTCTGAACTGTGAAGGGTCGTTACTTCCAGCACCAAGTATTGTTTACCTCCAGCCTCGGACTTTCAGGGTGGCTTGGACCTGAAAGCTTTTGAGTGGAATGGTGATCACCCCGGCGGTAGGGGGCTGAGCTGGACTTTGCCACCTTTTATTATGGAGAGAAACACACACACACCCGGGCAGCAGGGACTTACACCAGAGTCTGTAGTTTACATTCAGGGTAACTCAGGCCCTCACACAGACGTTTCACCCCATCATCTCCAAGGCTGTTGTTGGCCAAGCACAGGTGGGTCAGTGTCTGGTTAACGAGCAGAGCAGGAGACAGCTCCTCACAGAAGGCTTCTGTGAGGTGACAGTTTTCTAACCTGCAAAAGCACCCCGCGCACAAGTAAGAGGATGAGAACATTCCTGAATCCACCTTCCCAGCAGCCTGCCCTTTTTCATCCCCTGCCTTCTTTGTCTTGGGCTAGTGATCAGGTCATGAAGAAATCGGGGTGAGGGAGGGTCTAGCCAGATGAAAAGTCGCTTTCCAAGGACCAAAACTAAGAAGCAGGTGTCACCACCAGCAGGGCCCCTGGGTTGGCCCGAGTCTGGCTTTGCCAATGCATCCTCTGTGGCCCCAGGCCTGCCGAGAAGCCCCAAGGGACAACAGGGGGACTCACGACAACTTCCGTAGGAAGCACTTTGGGTGTCTCAGCGTCAAGCACAGCACCTTGACCTTCTCATCGAGGAGGTCCCCGGCTGTGAGGTCCCAGCAATCCAGCAACCTGGCGTTTCCCCTGCCTGAGGAGCCGCTGGCCTGCTGCTGAGGGGATTTAGAGCAAGATCCCAGCCTGTGGATAGAGGGGGCAGTTTGCTCCTCTGAGAGGACAGAGACCCTGTCAGCTTCCCTGAGGACTGTCTCCTTGATTTTCATCTCCCTCTTCCCCACTGTTCCCTAATCTGGCCTGAGTGTTTCCAGACTTGATCTCCTTTGCTTCCTCAAGTACCCCCACAGGCCATTTGAGCAACATCCCACCTCAACTCTTTTTTTTTTTTTTTTTTTTTATAGAGGCATGCTTTATTTATTTGTTTGCTGGTTTGTTTGTTTGTTTTGTTTATACAAGCACTGGGTACAGTCAGAAGTGCAGGAGGGTGAGAGAATTCACCAGAGCCAGAGCGGGGAGCAGAGCAGGCAGAAGGACCCAAGTACACTGCTGAGGGGAGCAGCGGGCGGCAGGAGAGGTCTGCGCGCCATGTGGGACCCTCCTCTGGTGGCCGGGGAGCAGCCGGGGATGGAACCGGCGCCGCAGAGGCCGCGCGCAGCTTCGCAACCCAGCGCTCAACCACTGCGCCACCGGGGAGGCCCCCACCTCAACTCTTAAGACAAAAAAAAAAAAAACAACAAAAAACAAAACCTGTAATACAACCCTTTGTGAGTTTCCCCAAAATGCCTACTCCTCAGACCCAGTTCAGTGGGACAGTGGCACCCCAAAGGCAGAGGTCTCATCAGGCAAGCTCCCTGAGGAGAGGGCACTCACCTGACACTGAGAGACCAGGACCCAGGACCCTGTGGCTCCACATGCATTCTCTGCATGCACGAGGCCACCAGGGGACAGTGAAGGCTGGAAGCCCCTCTGGGTTCTCCTAGCTATGTCCCCCAGTTTTGCACGGCATCCAGTCAGCGGATGCCCACTTCTCCTGAATCACCCAGCAGTACCCCGTAACTCACAGCCTCCTTCCCCCACACCATGGGGAACAGTAGGGGCCCCGAGCTCTACCTCAGGTTCTGCAGACTCTACCTCAGGTTCTGCAGATGGCACCGCGGGTGCTTCAGGGCTTCCCCCAGCAGCACCAGCAGCCTGTGGTCCCCGAGGCTGCCGCCCTCCAGGCCCAGGTGCGTGAGCGTTTTCTTGCCGATGAGCGCCAGGCAGAAGTCCCCATACGCAGCTGCAGGGGACACGTTTTTAATCCTAGGAAAAATAACGAGGGGCCTGTCCTCAGTGCCGTCTGTAGCTGCACTGCGAGCAGAGTGAGAGGCCAGAAGTGCAGGGGGCGCACCAGGTAAGCCAACCACAGCCCAGCAGAGGCAGCCTCTGGGGCTTGAGCATGTGCTGACCATTCAGAATGGAGGGAGGCTGCAAAATGGGAGACCGAGGATGATGGTTTACCTAATGACCTCGCAGCAGAAAACAGGAAATAAATCACCTCTGTGGCTTGCAGGAACCTTTGCAGCCTTATCACCCCGGCAGGGGCAAGGGCTGGCAATTCTTGCTTTCCATGCATACATGGATTAAGCCCTGCAGAATCCCTTTGTCTTTAAATTGCAAGGTTTTCATGCTGATTTTTCCCTCTGGAATTTCTTGCTCCCTTTCTGGAAACTATAAAACCTCACTGAGACCAGAGGAAGTTTCCTTGTTCTATATATGGACCCCTGCACTCAAATGCGTTTCTTTTCTCTTGCTAATCTCTCTCTAGTCTGCTTAATTGTTTTCTAGCCTGTGGACCTTGAAGTGTAGAGGAAGATTTGCTTCCTCCCTTACAAGTAGGAGGAGGTGTTGGTGGCGAAGCGGAATATTCCACCAGGTGTCTTAGCCAGTTTTCACCTAGTATTTCTAAGCCTGGCGATCCTCCCCCATGAACTAAATGCTCTTCTCCCTAAGTCCACAGTCAGCCTGATCCTACTTGATCCTTCATTTTCAAATGGCGAGCATTCCCTGTGGCTCATCAAAAAGAAACACAAAAAAACAAAAACAAAACTCAAAATTAAATTTGCAGCACAAAGAAGTTACAAAAGAAATTCCCAGCTCTTCAAAGCCCCTGCTTAAACTGCCCTTAACTCTCAGCACCTTCCAATTTGTGTTTGCTCACATAAGATTTTACAAAAGCAGTCATGTAAGCATGAAGGTCATAACGAAGACAACAGCCACCTCTGCTGGCACCAAGTAAACTGCATCTGTTTCAGGCGTCAGTTAAATGTTCTAAGGCATGTAGTTTGGGGCGGGCAGGGGGGATAGGAATGCGACTGTGATTTTGAATAGAACACACAGAGTTGAGCCCTCGAACATGCGTTAGTTTAAAAGGGCATCCTGAGAGTCATCTGCCCGGGTGCCCAATTCTGTGTGAGCTGGCCCGTTGGCTCCTGTCACCACGCGTCACCAGCTCACAGCACATATCTGACACTGAGCTCTCTGTGACTCAGACCCCTCCCCATCCAGGTCTTCTGACACCTGTGCCTGCACTTTCCTAGAGGCTCTCAAGTCCATCATATACAGAGAGACTTCTGACCCCTTGGTCAGCTTCTCACTATAATACGTGCTTCTCTTACCAGCTATGCTTAAGGGGCCATTGCATTTCTTTGCATTCAGAGCAGTGGGCAGGTTAAAGCCAGGCAGGCACTCAATCTCTGCTCCCCTTGCAGAAGAGCGCAGCTGTGCCCAGACACCCTCGCAGGGCAGATTCTACTTACACCACTTTCTGGAGGCGACAAGTGACATGGGTGATGTGCTCACAAAGAATCCTCACGGAGGAGTGACTCAGGAAGCTCTGACTCACTTCCAGAAAGCTTAGGTTCTGGTTTGAACTGAACACAGAGCAGAAATCCATCCAGAGGCACAGAGTGTGGTGGTCGTGCTGAGACCTGGGAGGAGGGGAGAGACGAGGGCGCCCGGTAAGTACATGTGGGGAGAAACAAGAATCAGACATGAGGGCCTCCCTGATGGCTCAAGGGGTTAAGTCTCAGCACTGTGACACTATTCACAGCCACTGTCTCCCCGCTGCTCCCCTCAGCAGTGGATTTCATTAGATCTGCCTTTCCTTCTCCCCATTCTGTCTCTGGTGAATCCTCTCACCCCCCACATTCCTGGCCTCCACCCCATTTCTTGTATTCATAAATAAATAGGGAGGGAGGGAGGGAGGGAGGGAGGGAGGGAGGGAGGGAGGGAGGGAGGAAGGATGGAAGGAGAGAGAATCGGACATGAGGGCCTCCCTCATGGGGCAGGGGTTAAGTTGCAGCACCATGAAGCTATCCGCAGCCTCTGAAGCACGAGTTCAATCCCCGGCCAGGGAGCTGACCCACATGGCACAGCAGACCTTGCCAGCCTCCCCGCTGTTCCCCTCAGCAGTGTATTTCAGTTGCTCTGCCTATTCACTCTCTCCGGTGAATCCTCTCATCCCCACACCTCTGGCCTGTACCCCAGCAATTGTATGCATAAATAAATATTAAAAAAAAAAGAAGAATTGGACATGTAAAGGCCTCCTTCCAGACAGGAAGAGAGCATTTTCTGAATGTGTCTGATATGGGACTGACACCCAGGATACATGAAGAATGCAGACATAAATGCAGAAAAAAATAGTCAATTAAAAAATGGGTGGAGGCTCTGAATAGATGTTTGCCAAAGATGATTTGTCCCAACTGAAAGGGCCATGCAGCAGGCTGGAATGCAAAAGCCTACCCGGAAGCCCACCTGGGGGGCAGGAATGTGGATACCTGCCTGGAGGACTCAGACAATGAGCCTCCCCCCTCCCACTACGAGTCTCATCTCAGACAAAGAACCTCTACCTGCCCTACAAACTTTTTCCACGTAGGAGCCCAACTACCCACCTGACCTCTCCCCACCCTATAAAACCCTGATTCCCCCTAACAATGTGCGCGGCTTCACTGACCCTCACCTTGGGTGCGTGAGGTCCGCCCGGGGCGCAATAAACTTTCCCTCCCCTTGAGAAATGTAGCCTGGCTCTCCTTTTCTTTACTGCACCGAACCTTTCACCAACAGGTGCAATAAGAGATGCTCAACATCACTGTCACCAGGGAAACACAAATCGAAACCACAGTGAGCATCACCTCACGCATGGTGATGCTGTTATCAAAGACATGAGGAATAACCAATGGGAGAGGCAGTGGACAAAGTGACCACGGTTGGTAGTGCAACAGGGTGGTCCCCATTACCTGTATTGTTTCCTAGTTTTATTAAAGATCCTTCCCATTAGTCTCATGTGTTTTGTGTTGATGCGGCGGATGGCAGAACCCATTTAGAATAGGCAGGTTTGCGGGGTTTGGGCTGCCCCTCTCCCTGTTCTATAACAGTAGGAAGAGTCATTGGTGCAGCCGCTATGGAAAATGGCATGGAGGTTCTGCCAGAAAATAAAAATAGAGCTACCATATCATCCAGAAATTCTGCCTCTGGATGTTTCTCTGAAAACAAAAATCACCATCTTGAAAAGACCGTGCACCCCGTGTTCACTGCAGCGGTAGTGACAAGAGCCCTATGCTGGAAGCCAGAGCCCACGGGGTGGGGGTGGGGGGTGCACGCGCAGAGGGAGGGCATGTGCATGTGTGCCCAGCAGAGTTCTCTTGGGTCCCACTGTTAGGGGGAACACCACAAAGGGCAGCTAGTCCTGCAGGCCCTCAGGCTTTATGCAGAGTGAAGTAAGTCAGATAGGCTGATCTGTTTGAGCACCCTTGCCTGTGAAATCGAGAACAAACCAAACCACCAGACTCCCAAACCACCAGACTCCTCACAGACCAGCTTCAGGGTAAGGAGTGGCAAAAATGAGCAAAAATGGTCAAAAGGCACAAACCTCCATTTACAAGATAAATGAAACCTGAGGGGTGTAAGGTACCACACATGCCTGCACTTGGAAAACTTTAAAAGAAATTGGTAGGGAGAGAAATAGTTGAAATGGCAAGTGTCTAAGGAAGCCCTGCAGGTGAACACTGGAGTCCTAAAGCAAAGCAGGGCTCCAAAGCCCACCCCTAGCCCTGGCCAGGCCTGTCATCTTAACTGGAGAGCTGGCCAGGAGACACTGCAGCTGGGGGGAAGCTGAGCTACGCCACAGTGAACAGGACACTACCCCCTACCTCGTGGAGATAACCGGGGACACAGAGGCAGTGGGTGGGATGAGCGTCCTCACCTGGCAGCCCCAGTGCCCGCAGCAGCATCGGCATCATTCTCCAGGAACAGCCCCTTGTCCACCTGGAGGGACATTTTCTGCAAATTCTGACAATGCTTGAGGCAGAAAGAAGACTGTGTCAGCTCAGGGGTGCTGGCCAGGTGTACGGAGATGTCCTTGACCTGGCCCATCGCCTCCTGCACGAGCTGCCCGTCCTGAGACTCGTAAAGACAGAAGAAAACCTCCTTTGCGTCCATCACCGAGGAGAAGGGGTGCCTCCCGCTGGGCTCGGACCCGCACTTCAGCATTTCCCGCACCACCTTCGTGGACACCCGGCAGCCAAAGGTCGTCTCCAGCTCCCGGGCGGGCTCCTCGCCTGCAAGGCCGAACAGGAAGCGGGTCACCTGGGCCAGGCCGGGGTTCTGGAGTCTTTCCTCCCTGGACAGCAGCTTCTGCACCTCCGCCGTGCGGCCCCTGGGGCCGTCCTCCAGGGCATAGAACATGGCGGAAAAAAACTGCTGGACACTGAGGTGGATGAAGGAGTAGCAGCCCCCACAGTCCCTGTCCTTGTGGAGGAGCCGCTTGTCCAGGAGCGGATGGAGCTCGGCCTCCTTCACACCCAGTCTGGCCAGGTCGTCCCCGTCGAACACAGACGTCTGGGCCCAGGTGCCCCGGGCTGCCAGGAGACTGGCCGCCTGCAGGGCCGCCCGGAGGCTGGGCCCGGGGTGGCTGCCCGGCGCAGGCGGGAACTGGCCACAGAGGAAACGCAGAAACAGCCCCGTGGTGGTGCGGCAGGTGGGGCCGGGGTCCTCGCCGCGGTCCAGCTGCAGCTGCAGGCAGGTGCAGACCAGCCAGCACACGGCGGGCGCCGCGCCCAGGCCGAACAGCTCCGTGTTGCTCTTCATCAGGCCGAAGGCCCTCCGCGCCTGAGCCTCCTCCCCGAAGTGCTGCAGGAAGTAGCGCCTCCTGGCCGGCTCCGCCAGGCCCCGCATCTCCAGCAGGAGCGGCCGCTCCACCAGGGGCCGCAGCTCGCCCAGCGCCCCCGAGCGCGTGGTCACCAGCAGGGCGGCGCCGGGCAGCACCTTCCTCCGCAGCAGGCTCCCCAGGAGCACCGGCACCGGCTGCGGCTGCCGCCAGTCCCCGCTCAAGTCGCAGAGCAGCGCCCCGGCCGGCACCCTCAGCTCCTCGAAGCCGTCGAGGATGAACAGGATCTGCTGCTCCGGGGCCAGCAGCTCGGGAACGGCCTGGCCCGGGGGCCCGGCCCCGGAGACCAGCTCCGCCAGGCTGCAGGGCGCGCGGCGGTTGAGCCCCTTGCAGCTGAGGTAGAAGGCGGAGCCGGGGGGCAGCGGCAGGCGGCCGCTTGACCAGTCCAGCATCCACTTTTTGGCCAGCGTGGTTTTCCCCACTCCCGCCGGGCCGTGCAGAACGGCCGTGAGAGGGGACGCCTGTGGGGGCCCCTGGGGATTGGAGAATGGGAGGTCTGGGCTTTGCAGAGTGACGGTGTCAGGGACATCCCCAGCGCCTCCTGGCCAACGTAGGTTCTTCCAGATAGAGGGAAACGTCTCCATCGCGGCCCTGTGCGCTCCACTGCGCCTGCAGTGATATGCGAGGGGTGGGGCTGGAGTGTCAGTGATCACACTCAGCTGAAAACTGCACCCCGTAAAGAAATACCCACCGAGACGGGGCGCCTTCCCTTACCTGCCCCCAACCCCCAACTGGCGGCTGTCCAAACAGTGTTTGCTCACCTGGCCTTTCCCTCCAAGCCTCCCTGCCGCGCTGTGCCTGGAGTTTCGCTGTGCCTGGAGTTCCCTGCTCTGCACCTCTGTGCTCTATCGCAGCCAGGAGCACAAACGCTCCTCCCAGGGACCGCCTGGTGGCCACAGCGGACTTTATTCTGTTCAGGTCTACCCTCGCCCACCCACCTCTGCAAGGAGAGGGAGAAGAAGGCACTACCACTCCCATCTGACACGTAAGCCAGATAATAAGGGTGTGGCGGGTGTGGCTGTCCAGGGCCTGGGTATATGCCTCTGGGTATATGCAGGGTTTGAAAGTGACCCTTGAATGCATGCAAGTGAGTTGCCCTGGAGCCAACCCCAGTGGGACTCCAGTGCCCTGCGGTGGTTTTTACGTGGAGGGAAGGCAGAGCCAGGTGTTTGTCTGAAAAGGGGCTGAGGGTGAACAGGAAGGAGCCAGATCACGCCCCAGAGGCGCTGTCCAACAGCAGATGAAAACAAAGGCACCCGCTGAGAAGAAGCATTAGCTGCAGCCCATGTGCCACACCCATCAGGTCTCTGCCTTCCAAGATGCTCCCTCGCCACAGATATTTGAGGGGTGGGGGGAAACAAACCCACAGTTCCCAGGGGCACACATTCTCCTTCAGCCTCTTGGTGAGCATGTCGCGTGCGTGTTTGGGGCCCAGGAGTGAGACGAAAGGCGGTTCCAGAGCGCAGGTGGAAGACGAGCAGCAGGACAGGGAGCCCCTGTGAAGTTAGTAAGATCGCAGGGACAAGTCTGGTCTCAGAAGACCAGGACCTTCCGAAACCAGTTACCTGCTGTGACTCCGTGTCTCCTAGAGCCAGGTGGGCGTCATGGGGTGGAAACCATACCTCCCCGACACACGTGAGAGTAACACTGGGAAACAAAATTATATGTGGAGTCCCTGGCAGCTGCACCCTCCAGATCTTTTTCTCATCCCTTTGAAGAAAGAGCTTGGCTTGAGGACCTGAAAGAACCTAAAAGTCTCAAACCAGAAAGGATCTTATATTGAATTAGAGCAATTGGATAATGACCTAAATAAGAGTGTGGAGTATTCTTTATAATGCTTAGTTATTCTACATGTCCCAAAGATAGATTGCTGATGTGAATACTTACTAAGAGAATTTTCTGAAATTCATGTCTCTTGGTGATCATTGATATATATTTAAAACATGCCCCCCCCCAAAAAAAAGGGCCACACCAACCTTTAACACTTGAGAAGTTTTATGGTAGAGACTCCCGGTAACTACTGGACAGATGAGCGAGAAACAGATGCTGGACTCAGTACTCGCCTCCCTGGCTGCTGCTGACCTACAGCCTGGGAGGATTCCCTGCAGAGGAACCTCCAATAAAAGGAATTTCTCTGCCTGTGTGAGCTCTGTGATTGGCCAAGGGGAGCTGGGTGGGTGGGTCTTCCTGGCCAGGTTGGAATGACCTGCTAATTTACTAAAGGTGCTTCTCAACCTTAATAGGAGGCTCACATTGAAGTTACCTGGGCTCTGTCCTCCGTGGTCCTGGAGGAACTGGTCTGGGTTGGGCTTCAGGAAACCAAGAGTTTTCCTGAGCTCCCAGGGAGCTCCTAAGTGCCTCTGTTTCCCAGACCACCTGGGCCAGGGTACTGGAGCTCAACAGTGTTGACATTTTGAAGTGGAGGTTGCTTGGGGGGCTCAGGCCGTGGTCCCAGAGTACTGGAGGGCGTTGTCAGCATCTCTGGTATCCATCCCAGTTCTGACAAGCAAAATAGCCTCCAAATATTGTCAAATATCTCCTGAGAAGTAAAATTGCCCCTGATTGGGAACCATAGTTGCAATTGGCTGCCTCCTTCCATCAAACCAAGTATATTGAAATGCACTTGTATTCTGTTAAATAAATAGGTCTCTGTTAATTGAGTAAATAGATAAGTGGATAGATCATAACAATCAAGTTCTTCAGTTTTGAGTTGATGGTGTTTGTTTTTTGTTGATGTTGAAATGTGTATTCACAGGACTTGTATTGATTTTTATGAGTATTAAATTTTATTCATTTTGCTTTTGAAAAAAAATTGAAAATCTGTGACACTCCAAACCGGGAAATAGTCTACAGCTAGAAAAGAGGGAAGAAAGAACTCAACAAGCTTGGATGACATTTTGGAGAGGGATTTTGTTTAGGTTTGGGGGAGATTGGTTAGTTTGGGATTTTTCTCTCTGACTCATTTATCTTCAAGATTATAGAGAGTTTGTGATGGGGGAGAGAGAGAGAATTTTAGACTTATTTAATTTTGACACTTAGGAAAAGTAGGGAGAAGGCATTATAAAAACAAAACATCAAAGTAAAAATGTCCATGTTTAAATCATGTTATAACAGTAATAGTGTAACAGGGTGGTCCCCAGGAAAGGGGGAAGTTCCAGGTTCCCTGCCCCACCCAAGGGAGGGTGGAGCTGAGCAGGAAGAGGAAAAACTGCAAAAGAGACTGAGGAAGGAAGCAAAATGGAGCCTAAAGACACGTGAAAAAACTGCACTTGTCTTTTGGTCATGGACTGGGTGACACAAATGTGAGTGAGACCCGTGGGGAGGTGACAATGGCAGCTTTTATCTTGATGTTGATTTTGCTCTTTTCCTTCCCGGCTTGTCCGGTTGTTTGTGACCCTTTCCTGTGGGTCCCCACTGGAAGATGCTTTAGACTTATAGCAGGCTTTGGGGCCTTGTTCTGGGCCAACCCCATTTGAATGGAGTTTTACCCACGAGGGGATGGGTAACTTTGAGTTCTTGATTTAAAAACTAGACTCTTTGCCTTACCTGTATTGTTTCCTAGTTTTATTAAAGTTCCTTCCCATTAAAGTCTCATATGTTTTGTGTTGATGCAGCGAATGGCAAAACTCATTTGAAATAGACATGTTTGCGGGGTTTGGGCTGCCCCTCTCCCTGTCCTATAACAATAGTGGTAATAATAATAATAGCTATTATCATTAAAACAATATAATAGTAATCATTATCATCATCATTATTATTATTATTAAAACATAAATTTTAGTGATGGTTTTATGTCATGTACTTTCTCTACCTCATTGCATCTATTAGCTCATTCAGCCCTAAAACAAGGGGGCAAGCAGGAGTCCCTATTATTGAAACTGTTTTGCACACATAAACCTGTGGCATGGATTGTGTGACAGACAAATTCCAGAGGACGTGATCTTAACCGGGGGCAGCAAACCTTTTTCGTAAAGAGCCAGCAGTAAATATTTTCAGTTTTGTGAGCCTGATAGCTTCAATTACAACTATTCTATTCTGCCATTACAGAAAAAAAAAAAAAAAAGCTACAACCAATACATAGCAAATGGACTGTGCTACAATAAACTTTATTGACAAAAACAATGGTGGGCCAGAGTCAGCCCTATTTGCCTTACTTTTGCTTGTTACTCTATCCATTTTATTTTAAATTGAAGAAATAGAGGCAGAGGGAGAGAAAGTGAGAGAAAGGGATGAGGAAGAAAGGGAGTGAATTGAACAGGGAGATTTGGGTCACGGGGTACAGACTTACATGGATAAGATGGACATGACCTGCAAATTCTAGTGTACAATTGTTAGGGGGAAATGATGTCCTGAGCCACAGTCAGGCACCCCGTTTTGTATCAGGGCTGCCCTATAACACAATTAGCAATGTACTTGAAAGCAGTTAAGAGAGTAGACAGCAAATGTTCTCTCCATGAAATGAAAAATTGATGACATTGCAAAGTGTCAGTGAAACTACGGTGTTGGTGGCCATATTGCATTTGTTAGAAGCAGATGGGATCCAAGCCCCACAAAAAAGAAAAGGTAACTGATTTTTATGATACTTACACTCTATTATTTAACCGCAGCTATTCTTAACATTTACAATTTGAAAATGAATGTAACATTGAAAGCTGACATGATTGAGTATGCTGATTGAATATGGACTTGCCTGCAGTAATGGCATCATTTCTCACGTAATTTTTGTTGTTTCAGAACTTCTTTTTCTTGTATTGCTTAATATATACTTCTCTCACTCCTAGACTGAAATGTTGATTGCCGCTAGCCGGCTGCAGCAGCCTGGGTGTCAGGAGTTCCTGAAGGATGGGATGGCGTCGGAGCAATTGTAGAAAATGAGGGGGAGGGAGAGTGAGGAGACGCAGACACTTGAACAGAGTGCAGACATCATCCTGCCTAGGGTCTCAGCAGCTCTTTATACATTTCAAGCAAACTGTGAGAGTGCATAAGCATATGCATTAAGGCAGGAAGATAACAATCATCACATCTTTCTCAAGAACAGCCAAGGGTCTATTTGCCTCCTGCAGAGGTCGTGACATTTATTATTTTTTGTTTTAAAGAAGGCACAGTTGCTAAACAAAAGTGTTGTTAGAATAGTCATTTAACTTAAACAGTTATTTTATTACCAGCAAAAAACTTATGTGACTGAAACTAACTTTTCTATGTTTGCCATAGTGAACGATTAACTAAGGGTTAGGGGAAACAAAGGACAGGCATTTACCTGGGGGAAGGAATATACCTTGACTTTTCCCTAGCCCCAAGCTCTTTATTAAGGGAGGAATTTTCCTAATCTAACAATTTTTTTTTTTTTTTAACCTGTTACTCCTATCTATACTTATCTCGTCAGCCTAGTTTCCGTATCTAACTTTAAGATCAAGGGAAAATTCCTTTTTCTGTAGGATTGCTGATTGTTGTTTTAAGGAACTACAAATATTTCATCAGAGGCAGGGCCAGAGATGGTTATAGCTCTTGGTTTCCAGAATGGTTAATACGTGACATATCAGTAGTTGTACCATTGACTATTTTCAAGTGCATTATTTGTGCTGCCATGGTTATTAACCAGTCACAAAATTGTTGTTGACTTATTCTTGAATGCATACTCTAACAGCTACCATACCAATTGTCACCTCCAGGGGAATCAGCCCTAAACAAACAGGAAGAATTTAGCCTGAGCGGCTATGGCGCCTCCTGGCTTAGTAGAAATTTTCTTACACTTGGAGCATGGCTTGTGTCTGCCACCCAACAGCTATCTTTAACTTTAAAGTAAAAGAATTTACTTCTCCATTTAGCCCTTGTCTCAAAAGACCACATCTCCATATTAAAGACTTGGCCAAGAGATGTTTATAGCCTTTTTTGTTCCCAGAAGTTTTTTCACTTGTTAATGTAAGGCCAAATGTTGAATTACTGCCTTTTGGCAGAGAACTACTAATTTTATAAAAAATGTAGTATTTGTATCACACAGTGCCATTTGCCATCAAATTGGTTATTCAGTAATTGATCAAACAGCATTTGCTGTATTACTTTTAAATGTGTATTTTAACAATGACAGAAATTAGCCATAAACAAATGAGAATCTAGCAGGAGTCAGCTAAGGAGATTCCTGACTTTTCAGGAATCTGCCCCATGCCCGGACCTTTGTCAGACCATGAGTAGCATGGCTCCCAGCAGTTGATGTGGGATTAGGGACAGACAATCGAATGGACTATGACTGACTAAAGTTCAGATGATTAAACACTCTTGATGCAGGCACTCTGCAGCCCCACCAGGAGGAAGTGGGAGAGAGGCAGCCTCACTGGGGGTGAGGCCCAAGGCCAGCCCACAGCTTTCTGTGGTCACCCCCTTCCACAGGATCCTTTCTCAAACCAGCAGCAGGCCGCACGGACACAGGACCATGAGCCCCGTTCTCCCCACCCTGCTCTGTCTTGGTGAGCCAGGCGTCAGGGGTAGGGGGGGTGGCGGGGGGAGGTGTCCCCACAGAAGGCTGCAGGGGGCAGGGGAGCAATCCTGCCAGGCTGGGCTGCTCTCACCTGTCTTCTTCCAGGGCTGCATCTGGCCCAGAGTGCTCGGGAGCAGAAGGGTGAGTGTCCCTCTGAGCGTTCTTGGGGACCCAGCCGTGGCTGGGCAGATGAGGCTCTCCTGGTAGCTGAGGGGGAGCACTTGACATGAGGCGAGGGCCTCTGGGGGTGTAGTGGTGTTATAGGACAGGGAGGGGGCAGCCCAAACCCCGCAAACCTGCCTATTCTAAATGGGTTCTGCCACCCGCCGCATCAACACAAAACATATGAGACTTTAATGGGAAGGAACTTTAATAAAACTAGGAAACAATACAGGTAAGGCAAAGAGTCTAGTTTCTAAATGAAGCACCCAAAGTTACCCGTCCCCTCGTGGGTAAAAGTCCATCCAAATGGGATTGGCCCAGAGCAAGGCCCCAAAGCCTGCTATAAGTCTAAAGCATCTTCCAGTGGGGACCCACAGAAAAGGGTCAGAAACAACCAGACAAGCCCGGAAGGAAAAGAGCAAAATCAACATCAAGATAAAAG